ACAAATCACTGTTGTCTTCTGAGCACTATCATTATGGTCTATTGAGCACTTGCACAAAACGTTATTGTCTTCTAAGAGGAAAATTGTATAACTAACACTTTAAGGTTAAATGCAAAATTACGCACATTTTGTTTATTGATGTGATGTGACGTTGCTTTCATTTGTGCAATTCGGTCAGGTTTGGCCGTTGCGCGCCAAATTTGAAATGTTATGTTGTTCCTTTTAAATTCATTATTATTCAACTAATTATGATGATATATTTTTCTTATAAAGGTGACCATATCTTTTCGAGTCAAAACCGAGACGGCAATTTTTACAGTTATGCTAATTCGGGATGAGACGGAAGCTTTATGCCAAATACTTTAAATATGATTTTAAAATAATATAAATACTATTTAAAAGATACAATAAAATTTTTTAAAACAGGGTTTTTAGAATAAATATTATTTTTTATATCAGAGTTGCGGACTTTTAGTAAGAACTTTTTATTCGATTATATGTTAAACTTTTCTTTACCTATGATGTTATATTATATCTTATATTTATCTAAAAAAATTATAACTTGTTTGTTCGTGATCATAATTTTGGTTTCATACTTTTTCGTGAAATTGAATATGTAAAAGTTGAATATATTATTATGAGATGCTATTTAAACCCGTCTTTGGAGTTTTGTATCAGGAATTTTTTTCATTCATAACGTCTTGTTTCATATAAGGGTCATTCTTCTACAAATCGTACGGATTTTCGAAAAAATAAAATGTCACATTTTAGAATCGTCTGAAATTTTTTTCACAGATATTATACATAAAATCATTTGACACGTATTTCAGGATTTTGCTGAAAAAATTTTTTTACGTAAATATTTTCGATTGAAATATAGATTTTTTGCTTAATTTCTATGAAAATCATCTGCGGTAAATTAATTATCTCCGGATGTGCTGATCGGATCAGTATTATTTTTTTTTTTTATTACACTCATATTGTAGTGAACTTTGTAATGATTAAAATTTTTGTTTTTGTTTTTGCAATTTTCTTAACAATAACAACCCTTAAATATTTACAAAGGTTTTTACTCAGCTTTACCCCAACTTGAATCGATCCAAAAAAAAACACATATTTTTTCTTTTTTTCTCTGCAACAAAATTCTTTTTACAATTTGTTGGAGACTTTGTGACATCGAAAGATATTAAATATTTTCAAGAGCGAGCCGCGCTTTTCCCGTAGGGGACCTCAAAGACTTGTACTCATTTGTCACTTTCGAATGACAATCTTATTGTTTTTCGGTTGAAAAATATTTTATAATTTCGCTTCTGGCAAAACATGAATATATATTCGAAAAAAAAACATTAGGGGAGAGCGGAGCTTAAAAGTTCGTGGGTAAAAAGAACCACTGCTAATAACTCAAAACAAGTAAAGTTAGAAATTTTTAACAACAATATTTGAATGTCTTTTCTATTCTATCTAGGGATCTATTTTCAATTTAAATATGTTTCATTTTTCACATTTTCAAAAAAAATCAAAAATTTTACATTTTTTTCTCGTAACTAAAATTACACGTAATGTTTGGTTGGGAGGGGGGGTAGTTTTGAATATCAATCCGTATCACCAAGGGTAAGGGGGTCTAAAAATCCTTAAAAAATCGATCACGTGGTTAATGTACGCTCCCTTATATACCAATCTTGTATTACCCAATGGAATGTATAATTTTTAAAATGAGTAAAAATTGAAACAATTGTTTTTTCAGCAACTTTGCTTATATCAGGAGTTCTCAATCTTTGTGCTGTAAGTTATGATCGATTGACGGCTATAGTTTTACCTCAAGAAACACGCCTGACTAAACGGGGTGTGAGATATGTTATGGCAGCTACTTGGCTGATTGGCTTTTTAGTGGCTACGCCGCTTGCAGTATTTAGGATTTATAAAGTTAGTAATATTGATATAACTTTTATATAAATAGTTGACATTTGCTTACTAAATTTTATTATTTACTAAAAGTCTATAACAATGTATATTTTTTCTTACCCAATCTTATAAGCAAGCATTGCAGTAGACGATCGATCTTTTGGGTCGCTGCATACAAAGATTAAGAATTAATAATAAACGTTTTATTATCAATTTTAAATTATGTTTTATATTTCAGGAGCGACAATGGAAGAACGTGTTAGAAACATATTGCAAAGAAGACCGCACGTTTCTTCCCATATATTGGCATGTTATCATTGCAGCTCTTGTTTGGCTACCATTAGGCGTCATGCTCATCTGTTACGTGGCTATTTTTCTTAAGGTATATAATAAATTACATTAAACCAAAGTAATATATAAATTTAAAATAAAATTTTTAATTTTATAATTTATGTATATGGTCCAAACAAATGTTCTCGACATTTTCGACAGTATGGAAAACCGATTTGTATGATTGAAAAACCATTCATCAATCGCGAGGCGTTTTTGCAGAAGGCAATTTGTCCGTTTCGGATGAATGGAGCGCAAGTGGAGGGTGTGAAAATGGTCATGCAGTTTTTGAAAGAACGGATCAGCCGATTAAATTAATTCAAACAACATTTTGCTTGAGTAGACGGTGTGCAAAAAAGCATTTAAAGAAAAAATCAGAATTTTTAAAAAAAATTCAAAGTATCAAAAAATTCAAATTTTCGAAATTTATCATTTTCAAAAAAAAACTAAATTTTGATAAATTTCAAAAATATCAAAATTAAAAAAAAAATCGATTTCTTACAAAAATTTGAAAATATTTCGAAATTTTAAAATAAAATCGAATATTTGCAAAAATTTCCAAATTATCAAAAAATTTAGAAAAAAACTTTTTTTTTAAATTCCAAAAAAATTTCAAAATTTTGAAAAAATTCTAACCTATCAAAAAAAAATCAAATTTAAAAAAAATAAACAAATTATTATTAAACATATACACAATTGTTTGATGAATACGCTCGTCGCCTAATTTAGAAAGCACTTATAAGTATACAGTATGCATTTATAATAATAATCTATTTAAAATTATTCAAAACAATTATTGAGTATTTTCATATCTCGAATGTTTAATTACGGTACGGGAAGTTCCAGCAATTTGCCTTAAGACACGATGCCATGCGCCCCACTAGTTTCACTTTTGCTTTATATATATATATATATATATATATATATATATATATATATATATAAACTATATAAATAATAATTAGCCCTGTGTTTAACACAAAATATTTCATTTCTGGTACTTCAGTTTGTTCTGGAATAGTATCCTATTCACATATTGATTTTAAATAAAATAATTTTTTGAATAAGCTGGTATGTTTTAATTTTTGTGATTTTTATAATTTTGGGCAATTTAAACTCTCATAGATTCGAATAATATTTTTAAGATATTATTGCTTAGTTCGTATACCCAAACCTGAGTTTTGATGCATAATTTTTTTTATTCTAATATTAAAATGATTTTTGCACAAAACTGTCTTTTTATAATAGAAAATAAGTTAAATAAAATCTGAAAAAATGCTGAATTTCTATTATTAATATAATTTCAGTTAGATCGCTATGAATCGATGGTACTTCGAAGAGAGCATCCTATAACCGTGAGGCATAAAACCCGCGTGGCAAAGATGTTGTTCATTGTGGTCATAGTTTTTGTGATTTGCCATTTCCTTTTACAGCTCTCGTATTTTATAGAAGCCAAAAATTAAAAAGTGACTCTCAAATGAATCAGGTAAATAACATTTAACGCAATTAAGCACATGGGGATGTTTGCAATTTTTATAAATGATTTCCTACGGCATATTTCATCTCCGCAGGTGGATGCATCGTTTCAAATTCTTTGGTTTTCATCGCACTACTTAGTTTTTCTAAACGCTGCTCTTAATCCCATTATTTATGGCCTAACAAATGAAAACTTCAGAAAGCGTTCAGACAATCAGCATTGTGCAAATGCTTTTTCAGTGCACCATCAGAAAAGGTAAATATAGTTTGTAAAATTTTTCATTCGAATAATCACTGATGATATCATACATTTAATATAACATCTTTTATTATTTTTTGCGCTCTTACAGGAATATAAATTAGTCTATTATGCCAAAAATGCATATTTCATATATTTATAAAATATTATTTGAGTATGATATAATAACATCCATGTTCGTTAAAATTATCATTAAATATATCGTGTTCAGAAAACTACTTTGTTTTCAAAATGGTATTTCATAATATGTTCTTCATTAAAATTAGCTATTTTAATAAACGGCTTAAATTTTAATAAATTAAAACAATTAATTGTATCTTATATCATAAAATTACTTTTCTTTATATACCTTCTAATAATTATTTTAATGTGGATACTCAGTTAATTAATTATGATGATAACACAGTTGAATAACTAATATGACGTTTTGGAAACATATATGCGCCACATACTTAAATTATGTACGTTATAATTAATTACTTTTACAAGCCATTAGAACTTTTTTTAGATGTCACAGTGCACAATTTAATTAACGTTTTTACTATTATATGATTTGGGTAAAGTAAATATAATATGATTATATAGTTAGCCAACCAAGACATAATAAACCTTCATTCATAAAAGCCCGCAAAATTATTTGAATATTCAAAGTGATTTGACCTTTACCATAAAGTTTTTTTCTAAATTCCATTATTATTGTCTACATATAATTATTATAATACAAAATTGATTCATGCACGCAATATAGTGAAATTAGTTAATTCGCTTGAAATTTCTAAAGTTACGAATCGACGATCATAAATGTCATCTGCTTTATACTTTAAAAAAAATTGTTAGTGCTTTTTGATTTCCCGACCCGCGTTTTTGCGCAAAAAACTAATTTTCTAATTTTATGTTTCATTATTGTATCAAGTCATTCTGATTCGTTCAACATACAAAATGAAAAAAATAATATATTTGTATGTGTGTCTATGTATATGTGAACCAAAATCACAAGTTTGAACATTCATCATAAAGTAGAATGATATGCGTTTAATAAATTAAATTTTATTAAAAAATTATATGTATAATACAAGTCTACTACATGTTTGCTTAAACGGTATTCATTTCAGTTGAATAGTATTCTCTTGTTCAATGTCATTGCACAGTGCAACGCAATAGATGATTTAGTTGTTATTGCATATTTTGTGGTCTAGAAAGAAATTTTATCAGCAACACGTGCTAGGATTGGCTCTTAATATTGCGCTTGCAATGTTGTAGCAATGAATATTTTACTAACTGCGTTGTTTGTATTCTGACCGTTATATAGTGTTTTATATTATTTATAATTATTAGGAATGGGTGCAAACCCCCATATTGTATACAAAAAAAAAGAAATCGAAAAAAAAAACTTTTGAATCTATAAAAGCAATTCGGTCTACCGATCATGTTAATGGCGCTTAATCAATAAATAATTCCAAACATACTTTATCTTTAGGTTTGCTATTAAAACGACTATCACTACCGTACTCTGGCACAATCGTATTCAGTCTTTTTACTCTATATAATATTTTGATTTGCTTAAAACTGATCATGAATATATAAATATATAGTACAGCTAAATACCGTGAATATGGCATAGGTATAAAAAGCAAATCCATTTCACAATAAACGAATTATGCAAACGATATAAAGCTTTAAAAAACTTAATATGTGGGGTTTGCAATATCGTAATTTGTGCTCAAACAAACTGCAATCATATTATCCCATCGTAGAGCGACTGTAAAATTCCAAACTGGAAATAATAAAGGCTAATGGAACGGCGCGATCGAGTTGTGTGTGCATTCGAGTGCTCTAGCTTGCCGCAGTACTCGATGTCTGAATTGCAAAACGACGCCGCTCGCCGCTTGCCGCAATATCAGCAATTAAAAGCTCTGCTGCCCGACTCGCAACCGATCATCGGAAATTGAAAATTACTAACAAACCACAATACCGGAACGATCGGTTTAGGTTTTGTAATAAAAACAACCTCTCAATATTGTTCAATTGATCCGGAAAAATTGAGCGCCGATATAAGTTTTTAAATACGAATATTTGCAGAAAGTATGACGTTATTTCTTTCTGCAAATATCCGTATTTTTAAACTTATGTCGAAACTCAGATTTTCCGGATAAATTGAATAATATTGTCAACAAAAATTTTATGGAAAATAATTTAACTACAAAATTAAATATTAGGGTTCGTAAATTCAATTTGTTAAGAAAAGTTAGAGATATTTATTGTTTATAGTTACAAACATACAATTTTTATATATTGTTAAAAATGATTAAATTTACTGTTCCAGTTCTTTTATTTAGAGTTTTAGAAACTATATCAGAAATTATTATAAAAATTGTAATGTATAAGCAAACATATCAGACAATAATAGCATAATTATTAAATATTATATTCAATATTAATTTATGACTGATTTAGTTTTTAAATGTTATATTAAAATGTTTAATGTTTAAAATGTTAACTTTATGCTTGGCACTTCTTTAAACCTTTATAGAATTATATTTACAAGTATATTTTTTTAAGTAAAACTTCTTTAGGCGCGACTAGGGCGTAAATCCGTACAAATGCGGCAGATAAGATAAGAGTCGAGTGCCAATGATTCGTCATTTGCTCTCGATAATGTCATTTCTATACGGGTCGATTGTGATTAGTCGTCGCGTATGTGAATAGAGTTCTGTCGTTGTATGCGTACCGGCATCAACGTTGTATGCGTTCCGATATCAACAAGGAAATCGGCATAGAAAAATAAACATTCTGAGTTACATCGTAATACAAATCTTGATTTAATAAAAATGCCTAATCAGAAGAATATTTTACCCTGTCCCCGTAAATAATTATAATGAAAATAATAAAACAAATGCAGCATTTGCGCCGTATATGAAACATAGTTTATTTAAATAATTTCTATATTATTCGTAGTTTCTATAAATCTTTGAAGTTATTGAAATGGAAAATATTTTTTAGGCAAAACATATATTACATCTGTTCAAAGAATGAGATAATATCGCCAGCGAAAAAGTAAAAAGGGTATTTTTAATGAAGTCTTTGAAAGTATAATTTTTAATTCTAAAATCATTTCTAATAAAAAAGAAAAATATAGAAAGATATTGTTGCACTATTGAGCGCCTCGCAATTCCGTACAGCAGTGTAACTTCTGCGGAAAACATCTTAGCGAAAAGGTTGAATTCAATGTAATTTTTTTATATGCAAGTGTTAATGTAAATGTAATGTATATACCAAGAAATTTGAGAAATAATACGATAAATCGCGCATGATATTGGCGTAGATGGGGTTCTCAAATTAAATATATTTAGCTAACCACATCAATTTATGTATCATTATCCAAGTCGTTTTATTTTTTATGTTTGAATTCAAAATAAAGTAATTAGTAGTTGCATATTAAGACGTTCAAGGATGAAATTAATTGAATTTTGTTCACGTTAATTTTTACGTACGGTTCTTAGATGTTACAGTAATTTGCTTAATAATGCTAGTTTGATTCCAACGCCGACAGCCGTACGGTGCACATCGTGTTCTATTCTAAATAAAAACATTATTTCAGTGCAGTTTACCTTTTTACCTGTGAGTGTTCAAATAAAAGACTCTTATCAGTGAGTGTAGTTTGGAGTTACGCAACATGGTCCCCATCGGAGGGGACAAAGAACCGGTCATACCTATTGTTCAATCGTTTAATGTTTTGAATGATATGGATATTTCTGCAGATCCAAGTGAAGAAATACCTTTAGCAAGCGGATCAGGTTTGATTTCACAACCTATACAAAATAATGCAATAATTACTCACCAATTAAGTGAAAATTACTCTTCAAGACAAAGTGATTTCAGAAAACAGATTTCAATAAAAAACCACAAAAGTATAGCTATTTCATCACGTTCATCTCATGTGAATTCTTCAAATTCTACTGATAACAACAAAGATCTTAATAAATTTGACGTTAACCGATCTATTCATTCATCAGAAGAGAACTCGGAAAACTTGGAGCAAACATCGGAAAATCTTAACAATATGGAAGACGATTCACATTCTTCGGAACAACCAACTACTGATTCTAATCCTAACCCTTGGCAAGTATTCACGCCAAAAAAACGAAAAACTTCTTATGTTCCTTTACAAATTAATATATCGACTAATAATAGATTTTCTGCGTTATCATCAATAAATGTAGAAGACAAAACCCCTGCTGTAACAACCGTTAATAAACCTCCACCAATATTTATTTACGGAGTTGAAGATCCCGCGGACATGTTAAACACGTTTAACAAAATAGTTCCGCCAAGTCAGTACTATCTTCGAAGCCTCGCCAATAACACCTTTAAAATAATATGCCAAACTGTTGATAATTTTCGTGAACTCTCGAAATATTTAAAACAAACTAACGTAGTTTATCACACTTATCAACTAAAACAAGAAAAAGCATACAGGGTTGTACTCAGGAATGTTCATTTCTCTACAGACACGGAGCTGATAAAATCAGAATTATTAAAACAGGGTCATGTCGTGAGAAATATTCTCAATATAAGGCATAGGTTAACTAAAGAGCCGTTGAACATGTTTTTTGTGGACCTAGAGCCCAATAAAAACAATAAAAATATATACAATGTTTATAAAATATCAAATAATATAATCAGGGTAGAACCACCGCGCAAATCCAGCAACATTGTGCAATGCACACGTTGCCAAATGTATAATCATACTAAGGCTTACTGCAACAGACCTTTTATTTGCTTAAAATGTGGTGAAAATCACAGAACAAAAGATTGTACTAAAGACCCTAATACTCCAGCCCACTGTTATCACTGTGACGGTGCGCATACTGCTAATTACAGAGGATGTAGCTTCTACAAAGAAAATATCGAGCCAAGAAATAGAAATCTATATAAAGAAACAAATAACGCCCCATATCCCACTCCTTCAATCACAACTAAAATCAATTCGCATAAATTCAACACAATTCCTAATCCAATTAACCCCTCAGTTTCCTATGCAAACGCCACAAGAAATCAGCAACGTACTTCCTCGAATCCAATCACGGACTCCGATTCTACCACT